GCTCATACTTAGTCGCTCATATTCAGACTAGCCCAAAATCATACTCACTCGCACCCGTACCAACGCACACTCATGCCCACTTGCGCTCAGACTCGACAGATCTCACCCACCTTCAAACTTACTCGCACTCAAATCATCTAGCACCCAAGCTCACCTATCTTCATATGTGTAATGATAACACTAAAAATTAGATGCACCCACGCTCAAAATTATTCGCAGTCAAACCGACTCGCACTTAGACTCGCTCGCACTCAGCCTCGCTGGTACCCAAAGCCATTCGTATTCAAACTGACGTAATCCAGACTCACTCACACATAGGTTCAATCATAGCTGGGCCCACTTGCATTCCGACTCACTCACACTCAAATCACCCACGCGCAGATTTACTCGTACTAAATGTTCACGCAGAAAGAGGATGCCGAGATATAGCCGGCATGGCACTTGGGCGCCACAAGAGCCAGCAAACGTTGCGAGTAGCACGCTAGAGAACGGGCGTAACATCGCCATGCGGGTTTGCCTGCATTGCCGCGGGGAAGAAAGAAATAGGAAATTCCCCTCGGTCTTCCGCTTGTGTTTCCCTCGTTTCTCCTGAGAAAAACGTCCAAAGCAGGAAGACGCCACTGAAACCGTCGCTGTCGTCGTCAGCGTCGTCGTCGTTGCCGTGCTTGTCGTCTAGGCGGACTCGCTCTCACACCCAAATACTCATAGACAGAGCTCCTCAACGAAACGTGACAATAATATGGGATGCACATATGAAGATCTCCGCGCCGAACTCTTTTCAATCCGTTTTGGATCGATTTGGACTTGGCCAATTCTCGACCCCCCAGCTCGCCCCCAGAGCGCGCAAAATGTCCCAAGACGGCCCAAGACGCCCCCAACATGGCCCGAAGAGGGCAAAAGACGATACAAGAGGCCTTCAAGACGCCCACAATGGCCTCCCAAATGGCCCGGTTTCGCCCCAAGGCGGCACCAAGACGGCTTTTGACGGGGCCAGATGGGCTAAGTCCTCCCCAGGACGGCAAGAAAAACCGAAAAGAAATCCGCAAAGGTCACCAAAAAACTCCGACAGTTCCTCGGGAAACTCCCGGGAAATCCCAAAAATGCCCCCCCAATTTCCAAACAACCTCATCCTCTTCTTTTCTGTCGCTCGTCCCCCTTCTTCTTCCCCCCCGAGTTCCCCGAAGGGTTTCACAACGGCTGGCGGAACACATGGTCCGATAACTTGGCCGAACTTTGGCCACAACGTTCGGCCACATAGGCGCTTCCAAAACAACAGGGGGCGGCGGTGATTCGCTGTAGGCGTCTTCGATAGCACCAGCACAGGCATCGCGTGCGCTGAGCTCCAAATTCTTTATGTATAGAATGCATACCGCGGGGGATACATCCTGGGGCCAAAACAAATCGGAAAGCATTCGTAGCAGCTCGGCCATCAAAATATAGGCCAGTTGACGTAGTGTTTTGGCAAAGTGCAGAGCGGCACGGGTCCAAGGGTGCGGTTATATGCTCGGAGTGGCGATCGGATCAGGATTTTGACGTCGAGTTCAGGCGACGAGCATGAATTAAACATTACAATCGAGGCTTCGTGGTTTTCGTTGAGATTTAAAGTTGGTTAAGATGTGAAGAAAGACAAGGGAGGTGACGGAAGGAAAGACATCAAATGAGAAAGGGAGGAGTGGTGAACATGAAGGGTCATTTTGCACATGCGCTGTCCCCGTCTTTACAATGTGCTGCTGGGTGGTTTACTGGATATATATATATATATTATATATATATATATATATATATATATATATATTATATATATATTATATATGTATATATATATATATATTATATATATATATATATATATATATATATAAATATACTTATATTTATACACATTCAAACAATGTCTGCGGAACTGGAACATATACCACGAAACCGGCCTTGTCCATTGGTCGTGAAACTCCTGGCGCTAGTGATGCTTCTGTCGACTATGCACCAGCCTGCACAACACATGTGGTTATACATGTACACGCACATATATTCCCTAATCACAGGTTGCCTCTGTAGGGGTCCTAGTGGATTCATTCCCCGATCAGAGCTTGCCTCTGTAGGGGTCCTAGCGGATTCATAATGTTACGCTACCTGTGGCGTCGATTTCGGCGGCGCGCCCGAGTGCCTTGGTGACCGGTAGCCCTATAGCCCGATAGCCCTAATAGCCCTAAAACAATAATAGCCCTACAGCCCTGTAGCCCTATAGCCCCATAGCCCTATAGCGTTATAGCCGTATAGCCCTACAACCCTAGAGCCCTATAACCCTATAGCCCTTCAGCCCTATAGCCTGACAGCCCTATAACCCTATAGGCCTATAGCCCCAGAGCCTTATAGCCCATAGCCCTGAAAAGATTATGATTGGGTTTTTCTCTGGTATCATATGGTTAAGCTAGCTGTGGCGCCGATTTCGGCGGCACGCCCGGGTGCTTGGGTGCCCTGTAGCCCTATAGCCTTATAGCCCTATAGCCCTGTTGCGCTATAGCCCTACAGCCCTATAGCCTTGTAGCACTACAGCCTTATAGCCTCATAGCCCTGTAGCTTTATAGCTCCATAGCCGTATAATCCTATAGCCCTGTAGCCCTATAGCCCTACAGCCCTGAACACATTTTGATTGGGGTTTTCTCCGGTATCACATATGTATATATACACATATATATACACATATATATATATAGGTATATGTATATGCATAGAAATACCTACTCCTCTTCCTATATTTTTGCAAGCCGGGGCGAGGGGACCCCCCCCAAAAAAAACGCCGGATTCCTGGGATTTGGGGCTTTGGGACCCTCCGGACGGGCCTCGAAGCGACCTCCCAGGCCTCGCAAGCAGCACACCTAGGGCGATTAGGGGGGTCATCGGATACGTCCCAGAGGCCCCCAAGACAGCACAAGAGCGCTCCAAGAGTGACCGACGTGACCTCAAGATGGTCCAAGAGTCCTCCAGGACGGCCCCAAAGAGGCCTCCGAGAGCACTCCCAAGAAAGCCCCAAGAGGCAAAAATCATTGATTTTCTGTTGTTCTTTGGTGAATTTTGGGGTTCTCCTCTTTTCGGCTTCCCGACGCTCCAAGACGGCGGTCTTCTGGGCGTCCGAAGCCGCCTGGAAGGCTCCCCAATCGCCCCACAACCATCCGAAAGGGCTTCCAGGCAGTCCAAGAGAGCCCCAAAGATGGCCCTCAGAGAGCCCCATGGCGGCCCAAGATGGCCCCAAGATATCCGAAGCATTCCAAATCGTGACCCGGTCGTTCCGGGAGACCGCGGTTGGAGGCAGGGTGGCCCGAGGAAGCCCCCAGAGGCCCCAAGAATACGCCCAGGAGGCCTCCAGAAGGCCTTAAGAAAACCTGAAACAACTTTTGTGAGGACAGAGGCCCTCCAAGGAGGAGCCTCCGCAACAAAAGAGCTGAGGAGGATGTGCAGAATGCGAAGGGTACGGCGAAAATGAAGAAAAATAAGCATGGAGGAAAACTAACGAATAACATTATCATAGCGGCGATGCCGGAAAAGGCAGCAAATTTGTCGGCTCGACCTTCCTGCTATTCCGCCTGCATACCAAACTTCAAGGACCAAAGTGCATGGCGCGAAGCGCCACTGCAATCTTGAATATATATATATATATATATGTACATTTAAAAAATACAAAATGAATATATATATATATATATATAGATGTGCACATATAGATTTGCAATGTTCGTGCGTTTACCGTGTATCTTCGTAGTGATCGAGAACAGTAGCTTGGACATTCTGGATGATAGAAACTTCGCGCGTCAGCTGAACAAATGAATGTGTGAACCCACGCTCGACAGGAGAAATTGCCTGTTCTGCTCGGAACCTTATCATACGTAAAAGAAGCAAGCTTCATGAAGTCAGCGAATTTCGCGACAAATCCGCATTGTCATGAATGAACGTCAACCAGCCCGCTCGATTCTTTCGTTTTCAACGTTCGGTCGGCACAACACATGCGGGCGATGGCCCCAACACTCAACCAATATTCTCGGCATTGAGACAGATAAGCCCACAATGCACCTGCTGTCGGGTCGGAGAGCGCAAGGATTATCATTTCCTGTAGTAGCTCGTCCCTGTCACAATCGCCGACATGTGACGTTCTAGCCGAAGTATGTGTATAGTAAACGAATATGCGTATTTCAAAACCTGGATCAGAGCAGAATGGTGCCCAAGCAGGCTGCAGCTATGCTCGTATCCTTCAGAGATCCTTGGCGCCCAAAATTTGACCAACGTGATTTGCTGGCCGTGGCACACGCTGGCTGAATATAAAATCAACGCACACACGGATATACATGATCCTGGGGTCTGGGCCCACGGGCCCCCCCCCCAGATGGGATGGGTCCCAGGGCTCCACGGCCCCCCCCCCGATTGGATGATGGGGGGAGGGGACGACGACGACACAACGACGACGGCAACCGACCACGACGACGAAGACGACGGCGACGACGACGACGACGGCGACGACGACGACGACGACGGCGACGACGACGACACAACGACGACGACGACGACAGCGGCGACGACGACGACGACGACGGCGGCGACGATCACGACGACGACGGCGTTGACGACGACGACGACGAAGACGGCGACAGCGACGACGGCGACGACGACGACGACATCGACGATGGCGGCGACGACGACGACGACGGCGGCGGCGCCGATCTCCGGAGCCCTCCGACGGCGACGACGGCGGCGACGACGACGACGGCGGCAGCGCCGATCTCTGGAGCCCTCCGACGGCGACGACGGCGGCGGCGACGACGACGACCCCCGGAGCTCTCCAGGATCACCACAGTACCACGCCACACACGCCACACCCACAGCACCATACCACACCCACAGGGGGGGAGAGGGACCATCGCGCGGGCGGGGGGGCCCGATGGCATCAGCATGAGGGGGGGTCGAGACCCTGTAATATGTATGTATTTATATATAGATGTTTATTTATTCAAGCGGACTGCTGCCTTGCGCAATCCATACCGCATACGAACTTGCAGATTTTCATTACTACGACCTGGTGGAGAATCCAAAACAACATAAATAGCCCCTGCATCGGCCTCAATGCGTTCCCTCCAGGCGTGCCTTCAGCTACCCGTTGGCATTCCGATTATCAATCAGCCCATACATCAACACGCTCTTGGACTTGCCCACACCGGACGGCGACACCTGACAACGCTCGGGCGATACAGAGTGACAAAATCCACCGTCGCAGAACGAGCGTTCAAGCAGAAACAAAGGAAGACGTCGCAAGAGCCCACCCGCCCAGCTCCCTCAGACACCCCGCCCAGGACCTCCCACAGCCACCTCCCTCCCTTTCCTCCTCCATCTTCTTCTTCTCCTCCTCCTCCTGATGTCCTTGTCCTGCTTGCCATCTTTCCCCCACCTTCTTCCCTTTCCTCTCCTCCGTTCCATTCTCCCTATCCTCCCTGCCCTCCGCCCTCCTCCATCTGCCCCTCCTTTCCCCCCCCCCCTCCTCTCCGACATTCTGCCCCTTCTCGCCCTCCTCCCCCTCCCCGAGCAAAAAGGCCACGCCTAGAGCGCGCCCCTGCTCCTCCTCCTCCTCCTCCTCCTCCTCCTCCTCCATTCTCCTCCTCCCACGTACCTCCCAGGAGAAGGAGGAGTAGGAGGAGTAGGAGGAGGAGGAGGAGGAGGAGGAGGAGGAGGAGGAACACCTCCCACGCACCTCCCAAGAGGAGTTGGCGGCGTCCATCCGGGCGCGCGCCCACCCGCAAATGCCATGGCTCGGCCCGGCGCTGGCGCGACCGCCGCCTCCGGCCTCTCCAGCCTCCCGGGAACTTGAGGGGCGCGCGAGGCCAGGCGCGAGGCGGATACCTGACTTGCTCGATCATTGCGAATCGCAGCCGCTGACGGGGGCCGCAAAACGTGTGAAGGGCGTGCCATGCGAACGCAGCCACAAGGGCCTCCGGTGGAGCTCCCTATGCGGCCGCGAAGCGTGTGAGTGAAGTGCCGATTCGGGTGCGGGTGCGCCATGCGAACGCCTTCGTTGGAGCTCCCTATGAAGCCACGAAGCGTGTGAAGGGTGTGCCGAATCGGGTGCGGGTACGCCATGCGAGCGCTGGCATTTGGCCCTTAAGAGGGGCTCCCTGGGGCCGCGAAACGTGTAAGTGATCTGCCGAATCGAGTGCCGGTGCACCACTCGAAGGCTGGCATTTGGGCCTTAGTTGGGGCTCCCTCATGGGGCCACGAAGAATGTGAGGGGTGTGCTGGAATGGGCACGCGGAGGGGGCAGAGGCAGGGATGGTAGGATCCGGGGGAGGAGAGGCGGAGGGTTGAAGGACGCGATGCGCTGCCATTTCAAGACGAGGACCCAACACCACAGGATTGTTGGCAGCAGTTTGTGACAACGCCCCTGTCCAGCCCCGTCCGCACCCCTCCCCCCTCCTGGTCACATTACGATTCGCGCGCCGTCTGAGACTTCGCCATTCTGCAGCATTCTCACACGGCCCCTGCGCGAATCGCGACGTGACACGTCCCTCCCCGCTCCCTCGCTCCCCCCCTGGTCACGCCCGTTATCGCCAGGGGATTACAGATACGCGTTCCAGTGGACCAGAAACCCAGCTCGAGGCGCTGGTAAGAGAACAACCCGGGATGGGCATGGGGTCCGGTTCTGGGCGGCTCTTGCCGGCTGGGCACGACGACGACGACGAATGGGGCGCCGGCGGACAATGGTGGCGACAAGCACGGCGGCACGGCATGCCGGCGGCGCGCGACCCGACGGCGGCAACGCCGGCGGCCGCGGCCGCAACTGCGACGACATGACGAGATGGCGGCGACGAAGCGGCGGCACCGCGACGACGGCGGCGGAAACGCCAGGGGGGGTGGGGCGCAGCTGCTGGTCCTCCTCCTGCAGGCCAGCGACCTGGCAGATCACTGTACAAGCGCACTCCAGGGGCCGTGATACCTCCTAACTTGCTCGATCATTGCGAATCGCAGCCGCCTTGGGCGCACGGCGAACGCGAGCACGAAACTGAAGCACTTGCGCTGGAGAGACATGGCTTGGCGGCCACGGTGTGAGGGTGCGGCACCAGGCCAAGCCTCCCGCATCATTACGACAGCGCCACTGTATCGTCGTATTGTACAAGCGACCGTCGTATTGTGCATTGTATTGTCGTATTGTCACTGCATTGTCTCGAATGGCGAGCGATTGCCGTATTGTGCAAGCGCCGCTCCGCCCCAGGATCCGGGCTCGTGGCCTGCAGATGCGGGGGAGCCCCTCCATCCCTAGCCTGGGCGGCTGCGAGCGACGCTGTCGCGCTGCGGGTGCAAAAATGGCACGCGAGCGCCCCCCCGCGGTGTCCGGGGGGGCAGCGCGAGGGCGCTGAGTGTTACGACAAATTTCGAGACTTGAGAAGACAGCATCTATTGAGACATCCTGCGGACATCCTGGGTGCAAAAATCCCTGGCACAGCAGGCAGGGCGTGAACATGGGGGCTGGAAGTAGGGCAACTCCTCCAGAGAGAAGAGAGAGAGAGAGAGAGAGAGAGAGAGGCGCGGGCTGGTGGAGGCGGGATCGCACGACGGATCATCCGCGCCGTCACGTGCTCAGATGGTCGAGACCTTGGCCGCATCGTCCTCGCTCGCCTCTTCCTTCTGCGGGGGGCCGGCCTTCACGTCGGCCACGATGCGGAGCGCCGTGATCGCGAGGATCGGGTTGAGCAGGACCCAGCCCCCGATGATGTAGCCGAGCCCGTAGCCGACGCCGTTCCCGATGTCCCCGAGCTTGCCCTTGGCCGCCACGATGCCGTCGTTCTGGTCGTCCTGGACCCAGCACGTCGTCTCCTGCCCCAGCGCGCTCAGGCCGATGGTCCACGCAGCGAGCAAGAGGACCCAAGCCACGCCGAAGGCGGCGGCGGTGCCCCAGAGTACCTTGCGCATGTCCCGCTTGTCCCCCCTGGCGAGGTAGGCGAGCATCGCCGCCATCCCCAAAATGGAGAAGACGATCCCGGCCACGCTCAGGCCGCCCGCGGCCGTGAGGCCGCCGACGTCCGTGCAGAGGTCGCCGAGCGGGATGCAACAGGCCTTCGGCAAGGCGTCCGCGCTGCAGGACGACGCTGGGGCCGCGGCCCACTTGGTGCCAGACTGGCTGTAGTCGATGGTGTACGTTCGGGAGACCGCGGCGGACACGTTGGCGCACTGCGTCGCGTGCAGGTCGCCGCACCCAGTCAGCGCCTCGCACTCACTCAGCCAGTCCCCCGTCGTGGCGTCCGTGCACCCCTGCCACGACTCCTCGTAGACGGTGTTGGCGCCCAGGACGGTGGAGAAGTCGCTCTGGTCGGCGCAGGCGGAGCTGAGGTCAGCCATGCACGTCGCGAGGTGCGCATCGAGGTCCGCGCCCGTGAGAGGGCTCGGAGCCCAGCCCACCTCCTCCGCGAACATGGCGGAGCACGCGCTCCAGGCGCCGATGCCGACGTGGTCCCGGGCGTCGAAGGACGCGTACTTCATGTCGGACCACTTGGCGTTCGGCACCGCCATCAGCATTACCAGGATCGAGTACCAGCCGAGCCCGTAGGCACAGGGCGCCAGCCACCACTGCCTCGCGCCACCGATGTCGGTACTGCCGATGTTCGACTCCTCCACCGCGGCGGACTGACCCTCGCCGTCCGCGGTGGCCATCTTCATGCTGGGCGGCATGAACGAGAAGTCCTTCTTGAGCACCGCAGGCAGCCGCTCCGGGTGGTAGGCGCGCATGCCGAAGACGCAAGAGCCAGCGATCAGCAGGAGCAGGATCGGAAGGCCCACGAACACGAGCGCCGCCCAATGCATCAGGGACAGCCCCAGCAGCAGGCCCGGAATGATCCCGAAGACGACGAAGATGTAGGCGACAGGGAACCAGCGCAGGTCGGCGGCCACGCTACCCAGTGCCCTGGCCATGGTGAGCGGCACGGCGCGCATGGCAGGGATCGGGAACCAGATGAGCGCTCCGATGAGGTTGAAGAACAGGTGCGCAAACGCCACCGTCATGCCGGTCGCGACGTTCGAGCCCGCCAGCGCAGACAGCATGCCCGTGACGGTGGTGCCCACGTTCGCGCCGACGGTGAACGGGAACATCTTGTCGAGCTTGATGAGCCCGATTCCGACGAGCGGCGTCAGCGTCGAGGTTGTTATGCTGCTGCTCTGCATGAGGATGGTGATGCCCACACCGAAGAGGATGAGGATGTAGTCGGCCACAAAGGGCACCGTCTTGAACTCCAGGTTCAGCAACCCCTGCATCCAAATCGCGGCGCGGCCCCGGAAGATCGTCTGCAGCAGCTTGACCAGGAGGATAAGCGTGGTGGACAGCATCACCAGGGAGATGACCAGCAGCAGCCACCCAGCCCCCTCGTCGCTCAGGGGGGTGTCCAGGAACATATGGTTGTCAAGGGTGCGCTTGTTCTGGATGATCGACTGTGCCAGCAGGCCGTCCAGCGTCTCCTGGTCGTCCGCCTGCGCGACCTTGGTCACCAGCTTCTTGTCCACAGAGATCAGGCGAGAGGTGACCGGCTTCGTGAGCTTCTTGATGAAGTCGACCTTCTCCTGCTTTTCCTGGTCCTCCTCGATGCCAGCGGACTCGACGAGGGCGCTGCCAATGTGGTAGAGCATGTGAGTGAAGTACTCGAGCGGGAGCAGGATGGTCACTGTCAACAGATTGAAGCAGTCGTGCACCGTTGCGCCCGCGAACGCCCGGCGGTACTGGTCCACGTCGCCCATGTGGGACATGCTGACTATTGTATTGGTGACAGATGTGCCGATGTTCGCCCCCATGATCATGTAAATGGCGTTCTTGGGATCGATCAGGCCTGCCGCAGTCATCGTGATGATGATGGAGGTACTGGTCGACGAGGACTGCACTAGCACCGTCGCCAGGATCCCGAGGGAGCAGCCCGCGAACGGGTTGTCGAAGATGGCGTTGTTCCGGAAGACTTTCCCAGCGGTGGGGCCTCCGATGACCTTGAACGCGTTGCCCATCATGCTCAGGGAGATGAGGAAGATGTAGAGAAGCCCCACCGCCATCACCACCTTCAACACCTGGATGATCACGAAAAGGACCTTCTCTGGGCCGGTCCGCTGCGACCACGCCTTGTCTCCTGACTCCATCTGCTTCACATCCCACTTGGCTTCCACGGCCGCCATCTTCGTACGGCTCTGCTGGCTGTCTTCGTCCGGGAGTCACCAGGCGATCTGCCTCCCCGAAAGCCTGCCTGCCCGAGCTGTGGGAGCTCGATACAAACGGCTTGAGCCAAAATGGCTACGGAGGCGATGACGATGATGACGATGACGATGAATGACGATGATGACGATGACGATGACGATGGCGCGTGCCGCAAGGCAGGTGGGCCGAAAGAGGGGCAACTCTCCATGGAGCCACGAAACGTGTGAGGGGTGTGCCGCCATGCGAACGCAGCCAATGCGGCCTTCGGCGGAGCTCCCTATGGGGCCACGAAGAAGCGTGCGAGAGGTGTGCTGATTCGGGGGCGGGCACGCCATGCGAACGCAGCTAGTGAGGCCTTCGGTGGAGCTCCCTCTGGGGCCGCAAAACGTGTGAAGGGTGTGCTGAATTAGATGTGGGTACGCCATGCGAACGCAGCCACAAGGGCCTCCGAGGAAGCTCCCTATGCGGCCGCGAAGCGTGTGAGTGATGTGCCGATTCGGGTGCGGGTGCTCCATGCGAACGCCTTTGTTGGAGCTCCCTATGAGGCCACGAAGCGTGTGAAGGGTATGCCGAATCGGGTGCGGGTACGCCATGCGAGCGCTGGCATTTGGGCCTTAGTTGGGGCTCCCTCATGGGTTCACGAAGAATGTGAGGGGTGTGCTGGAATGGGCACGCGGAGGGGGCACAGGCAGGGATGGTAGGAGCCGGGGGAGGAGAGGCGGAGGGTTGAAGGACGCGGTGCGCTGTCATTTCAAGACGAGGATCCAACACCACAGGATTGTTGGCAGCAGTTTGTGATAACGCCCTTGAACAGCCCCGCCTGCACCCCTCCCCCCTTCCTGGTCACATTACGATTCGTGCGCCGTCTGAGACTTCGCCATTCTGCAGCATTCTCACACGGCCCCTGCGCGAATCGCGACGTGACACGCTCCTCCCCCCTCCCTCGCCCCCCCCCTGGTCACGCCTGTTATCGCCAGGGGATTACACATACGCGTTCCAGTGGACCAAAAACCCAGCTCGAGCCGCTGGCAGGAGAACACCCCGGGATGGGCATGGGGTCTGGTTCTGGGCGGCTCTTGCCGGCTGGGCACGACGACGACGACGAATGGGGCGCCGGCGGACTACGGTGGCGACAAGCACGGCGGCACTTCATGGCGGTGGCGCGCGACCCGACGGCGGCAACGCCGGCGGCCGCGGCCGCAACTGCGACGACGCGACGAGACGGCGGCGACGAAGCGGCAGCACCATGACGACGGAGGCGGAAACGCCGGGGGGGGGCGCAGCTGCTGGTCCTCCTCCTGCAGGCCAGCGACCTGGCAGATCACTGTACAAGCGCACTCCAGGGGCCGTGATACCTAACTTGCTCGATCATTGCGAATCGCAGCCGCCTTGGGCGCACGGCGAACGCGAACACGAAACTGAAGCACTTGCGCTGGAGAGACATGGCTTGGCGGCCACGGTGTGAGGGTGCGGCACCAGGCCAAGCCTCCCGCATCATTACGACAGCGCCACTGTATCGTCGTATTGTACAAGCGACCGTCGTATTGTACATTGTATTGTCGTATTGTCACTGCATTGTCTCGAATGGCGAGCGATTGCCGTATTGTGCAAGCGCCGCTCCGCCCCAGGATCCGGGCTCGTGGCCTGCAGATGCGGGGGAGCCCCTCCATCCCTAGCCTGGGCGGCTGCGAGCGACGCTGTCGCGCTGCGGGTGCAAAAATGGCACGCGAGCGCCCCCCCGCGGTGTCCGGGGGGGCAGCGCGAGGGCGCTGAGTGTTACGACAAATTTCGAGACTTGAGAAGACAGCATCTATTGAGACATCCTGCGGACATCCTGGGTGCAAAAATCCCTGGCACAGCAGGCAGGGCGTGAACATGGGGGGCTGGAAGTAGGGCAACTCCTCCAGAGAGAGAGAGAGAGAGAGAGAGAGAGGCGCGGGCTGGTGGAGGCGGGATCGCACGACGGATCATCCGCGCCGTGACGTGCTCAGATGGTCGAGACCTTGGCCGCATCGTCCTCGCTCGCCTCTTCCTTCTGCGGGGGGCCGGCCTTCACGTCGGCCACGATGCGGAGCGCCGTGATCGCGAGGATCGGGTTGAGCAGGACCCAGCCCCCGATGATGTAGCCGAGCCCGTAGCCGACGCCGTTCCCGATGTCCCCGAGCTTGCCCTTGGCCGCCACGATGCCGTCGTTCTGGTCGTCCTGGACCCAGCACGTCGTCTCCTGCCCCAGCGCGCTCAGGCCGATGGTCCACGCACCGAGCAAGAGGACCCAAGCCACGCCGAAGGCGGCGGCGGTGCCCCAGAGTACCTTGCGCATGTCCCGCTTGTCCCCCCTGGCGAGGTAGGCGAGCATCGCCGCCATCCCCAAAATGGAGAAGACGATCCCGGCCACGCTCAGGCCGCCCGCGGCCGTGAGGCCGCCGACGTCCGTGCAGAGGTCGCCGAGCGGGATGCAACAGGCCTTCGGCAAGGCGTCCGCGCTGCAGGACGACGCTGGGGCCGCGGCCCACTTGGTGCCAGACTGGCTGTAGTCGATGGTGTACGTTCGGGAGACCGCGGCGGACACGTTGGCGCACTGCGTCGCGTGCAGGTCGCCGCACCCAGTCAGCGCCTCGCACTCACTCAGC